GACCTCGGTCATGAGCTTTGCAGCCAAAACTTCGGACTCCGTCAAGATTGGGTCCTTTTTTGGTGAATCTAGCAGTTTGGGTATATATTGGGATATATTGGGTTAGCCCCCCTCCCAGTAACATCAGTAACAGTTCAAAAATTGTTTTATATATATTCAAAAACCTACTGTATTCAAAAAGAAACACCAGACATGAAACCGCAAAATGGTCTGCATAAACGGCTGCTGTGGTCAATTTTTTTCTTTTTGACCAATCTTGTGCCAACTTCTTCACTAATTCACCCTGTGCCACACCACCCCTCCACTCCACATTAACTCTCATCGTCCACACATACATCCACCTCCAGCCCTGTTCTCTTGGCACCAGCCACGAGCACAATTTTGAAGAAAAAATGCTAGACAGATGAGCACAATTTTTGCACCTGCTTGACCACAGTTTTGCACAAAAAAAGTAGTGTATCTTCTTATAGTTTTGCCACAGCAACACCTTTAAACTACCTTCTTTGTTCCTTTGTGTATGTGTGTAAGGCAGCTCAAAAATATAGAGGAAACTTGTCAGTACCTTCAGTCTTGGGCACGTTCATTTGGAGTAAAAACATTTTTTGTGCCATATTTTTGGGTGCTATTTTGGTGTCCTCTACTGGTGCCCACTGTCAGTGCAAAAAGGGATATCCTAAGGTATATGCAACATTGACCCCTCCCCAACTGAGGATTCGGATTTGCTTATCTGAGAGCATCCAGCATTGCTTCCCGGTTGCAGCTAGCTCTGCTTTCTCTGTTAGTACCTCATCTCAACCTCCTGCGAGGTGGAGCCGAGGCACTGGCCATGGTGAGAGTTGGATCCAAACTGAAGAAAACAGTTGGCGCCAGCTTTGAGAACTTCGATTCCTTCAAGTTTTGATCCGATTTGATCCATTCAATTTCTGCTTTCACAGGGATTTTCACACGCTTTCAGCGTCCATCTGAATCTGATCATCCTTGGAAGGCCGAAGATGCCCGGCGAGATGAGTCCGGCAGGTCGGGAGCTGAGCGGGGCTTCACTGCTTCATGCCATGTCGACATGGCGCCTCTGAGGTGATCTGGAGATCGTGGTGCAATGATCACCAGCGAAAAAAAAACAAGCTGCATCAAGCTGCTATAACTGCTATAATTGCGATCATTCATCTATCCAAGAACCTGGCTTCAGATTTGATTGTGGCTTTGCATTATGAAACTTGGCCGAACTCTCTTTTGTTGTATCGAATTGCTACCTGTTGTGAAGGAGTTCGTCGCTTGCCTGATGTCCTTTGCATTGGACCCCAACACCAACCTCCAGGAGGGGCGCTCTGGATGATCTGAGGCGATGAGTTGTCACTGCACCGCTGTGCAGGAGACCAAGAAGCCGAAGTATGCCACCAACCCCAACAACTACTTGAAGAATGAAGAGGTGTAACTCGTGGATAGAACTGCTTGCAACTTTAGCCCTCGAAGCAGAAGCCCAGTTGCCAGCTGGACCTGTGATCAATCTGGCTACTCTCCCCTTGCAGCAGAAATGGTCTCCAGGGTGAAGAAGAGGAGGAAGAGGAAGACGTCCCTGAGGAGTCGATAAGACGAAAGGGACTTGGTCCAGAGCCATGACTTGGCCATGACTTGCTGTGAGGACTTGGCAGATTTGGAGCCAGAAGAACAGCAGAAAAGGATCAAGTCGCTGCCTGAGAAAAGATCATAGAGAAATTCATCTAAAAGACTTGGCGACTCTAGAAGATGACAGATGCCTACAAATAACTGAGTGTCTTGCACGTGTCATGTCAGCTGTCAGGATTCGAGCTGCCTATAAGATGGCCCTTGGCACTCTTCTTGTTTGGTGCCAAGCAGCCCCTTTTAAAATGTCGCTCTTTGCGCACCATGCCACAGTGTCACAATATGTCACAATGGTTCCAATGCCATTGCGAGGTCCTGATCTTTTCAGATCCCATGGTGGACCTGCTGTCGGAACTAGGTGCGGCTTCAGTTGGGATTCTCCACCTGGTGGACCTGCTGTCTTCGAACAAAGCTCTGCGCTAAGGGGTGCGGCTTGACGTGTCTGCATTTTATATTTCCTTCGTGCTGCTGGCTTGACCTTGGCACAAAAGCAAGGGAGAGCGCTGCGTGACAATTCCTTTGTGTTCCCCCAAGGTATACATCCAACTCCACATCCCCTAAGGAATAACAGCGCAACCAACCATATCATGGAACGACAGCTGCAGCTGCCATAGGTGTGCCATCATTGAAATCTACAAGCTTTTTCCACCGTTTGGGTATAGGCTAGGTCAAAATCGAGTAAACCCTCAGGCAGTGGTGGCTTTCAAGATTACAAGGAAGTCCGTTTTTTTGATTGCCAACATATATATATATATATTCAGATGTACTTCAGTCAAACGTTCATGTTTTGTTTCTGAAGATGTCCCATGTTCACTTGGACATTTGAAAGGCAGTGAACACTTTTTATCGCCATACGATAATACGTATATACTGTACTTACATTTATATATATATATTTTTGGGCTGACGCCCCTCGTCGGCTCCGCCGGACCACTCGGCCCTCCATTTCATCGCAGTGAGGGCGTGAAAGTTACTGAATGAGGACCTGCTTCAGAAATAAGTATATTCCTTAGGTTTTTTGGAACATATTTGTTGGAATAGACGTTTTTTGGGGAGCAAGTGAGTTCCCGAAAGCTCCTGCGAAGGGTTTTTCCTAAAGAACTGCTGCCGATTTCAACTTGTTACTTCGTGTAAAGGCGCCTCTGTGCAAAGACTTCTCTGTGTAAAAGCTTTTGTGTGTAAAAGTAAGATCCTCTGTGTAAAGACTTCTTTGTGTGAAAGCTTCTTTGTGTGAAAGCCCGTCTGTGTAAAGATTTCTCTGTGTGTAAAAGCTTCCGTGTGTAAACACTCTCTGTGTAAAGGCTTCTCTGTGTAAAAGTTTCTGTGTGTAAAGCTCTCTGTGTAAAGACTCCTTTGTGTAACAGCTTTTGTGTGTAAAAGCTCCAAGACGTTTGTGTGAAAAAGCTCCGCAGAGGAAAGACTTCTCTGTGGAAAACCTTCTGTGTGTAAAAAGCTACTCTGTGTAAAGGCTTCTCTGTGTAAAAGCCCCTGCGTGTGTAAAAGCTTGCTGTGTGTAAACGCTTTGGTGTGTAAACGCTCCTCTGTGTAAAGGCTTCTCTGTGAAAAAGCTTCTGTGTGCAAATGCGTCTGTGTGTAAAAAGCCCTCTGTTTAAAGACTTCTTCGTGTAAAAACTTCTGTGAGTAAAAGCTCCTAGACGTTGGTCTGCAAAAGCACCTTAGAGTAAAGACTTCTCTGTGTAAAACCTTCTGTATGTAAAAAGCTCCTTTGTAAAGACTTCTCTGTGTAAAAGCCCCTGTGTGTGTGGGTAAAAGCTTCTGTGCGTCTCCTCCCTCCAGCTTTCTTTCGGGTCACGCTGTCGTCCAGTTTCAATCTGCAACGTTGTTTCTTGTGGAAGAGTGCAAAATAATACAAAGAACATGTGAAAGCATCGCGTGTTTAAAAATTGAACATAAACAGCGCACAAAGTGCTGTAATTTACAGCATATTGCGCTGTCAGCTGGCAAGAACCCGCGTAAATACCACAGTTTTAGTCCCCCAAAGTGGCTAAAACACTGTTATTTACAGGGTTTCGTTCACGTCACGATCTTGATTTTTTGGGAAACGCGTAAATACCAGCGTTTTTTGCGTTCATCAAGGCAAAAAATCGGTTCAAAAAGTGCAAAAAATGCTGTAATTTACAGGGGTTTGGCGCCGTCACGGGCAAAAAACTGTGTAAATACCAGCGTTTCAGCGTCCAAAAGTGGCTAAAACACTGCTATTTACAGTGTTTCGTGCCTTCCACGTTTTCTTGAAATTGCAAAAACAGTGTAAATACCAGCATTTTTTGCGATAAACTTGCCAAAAATGCTGTAATTTACAGTGTTTTTTGGCTTGGCTTTCAAAAACACTGGTATTTGCAGTGTTTTGTGCATCTCGGGTCAAAAAAGTATTGGTATTTACAGCATTTTCTGCGTTTTTGCATTGCTCCCGCAAAAGACGTTAAAACGCAAAAATGCTGTAATTTACAGCATTGTGCCCATTTCGAAAAGCTGAAAATCGTCCGAAAAATGTGTCAAAACGACACTTTTTTCGATTTTAGGTACCCTCAAAACGGGGGGGGGGCGGGATTTTGCTCTTGGAGACGCTTATGAGCGACCCGGATTCCGGCTAAAAAGCTTTCCCCCACCCTCCTGAAGGATTTTTGGTGTTTTTCGGGGCCCGGCGTCGGAGGGTCGGCGGCTTGGGGCGCGCCTCACCTTAGAGCTCTAGTCGCTCTGGGACGCTCGTAGGGCAAGCCACTCGTGGGGAGCCGGCGGAGCCGAATTTAAGGGCTGACGCCCCCCGTCGGCTCCGCCGGATTTCTCGACCCTCCATTTCATCGCAGTGTGGGCTTGAAAGCTTTTGGACGGGGACCTGCTTCAGAAATATATTCCTTATGTTTTTTGAAAATTGAAAAAAGGTCATGGAATAGGAACTTTGTTGGAAATAGACGGCTTTTTTGGGGAGCAAGTGAGTTCCCGAAAGCTCCTGCCAAGGGTTTTTCCCGAAGAACTGCTGCCAATTTCAACTTGTTACTTCGTGTAAAGGTGCCTCTGTGCAAAGACTTCTCTGCGTAAAAGCTTTTGTGTGTAAAAGTTTCTGTGTAAAAACCACTTTGTGTAAAGACTTCTTTGTGTAAAAGCTTCTGTGTGTGAAAGCTTCTCTGTGTGAAACGTCTGTGTAAAGATTTCACTGTGTGTAAAAGCTTCCGTGTGTAACAACTCTCTGTGTAAAGTGTAAAGGCTTCTCCGTGTAAAAGCTTCTGCGTGTAAACGCGTCTGTGTGTGAAAGCTATATATCTGTGTAAAGACTTCTTTGTGTAACAGCTTCTGTGTGTAAAGGCTCCTAGACTTTTGTGTGCAAAAGCTATAGAGTAAAGACTTCTCTGTGTAAGACCTTCTGTGTGTAAAAAGCTCCTTTGTGTAAAGACTTCTCTGTGTAAAAGCCCCTGTGTGTGTGTAAATGCTTTTGTGTGTAAAAGCTCCTCTGTGTAAAGGCTTCTCTGTGTAAAAGCTTCTGTGTGCAAACGCGTCTGTGTGTAAAAACTCTCTCTGTCAGGCCTTCGTGTAAAAAGTTCTGTGTGAAAAAGCTCCTAGACGCTTGTATGCAAAAGCTCCTTGGAGTAAAGACTTCTCTGTGTAAAGCCTTCTGTGTGTAAAAAGCTCCTTTGTGTAAGGATTTCTCTGTGTAAAAGCCCCTGTGTGTGTAAAAGCTTGCTGTGTGTAAATGCTTTTGTGTGTAAAAGCTCCTCTGTGTGAAGGCTTCTCTGTGTAAAAGCTTCTGTGTGCAAACGCGTCTGTGTGTAAAGAGCCCTCTGTGTAGAGACTTCTTTGTGTAACAGCTTCTGTGTGTAAAGGCTCCTAGACGTTTGTGTGCAAAAGCTCCTTAGAGTAAAGACTTCTCTGTGTAAAACCTTCTGTGTGTAAAAAGCTTCTTTGTGTAAAGACTTCTCTGTGTAATAGCCCCTGTGTGTGTAAAAGCTTGCTGTGTGCAAATGCTTTTGTGTGTAAAAGCTCCTCTGTGTAAAGGCTTCTCTGTGTAAAAGCTTCTATGTGCAAACGCGTCTGTGTGTAAAAACTCTCTCTGTCAGTCCTTCTTCGTGTAAAAAGTTCTGTGTGAAAAAGCTCCTAGACGTTTGTATGCGAAAGCTCCTGGGAGTAAAGACTTCTCTGTGTAAAACCTTCTGTGTGTAAAAAGCTCCTTTGTGTAAGGACTTCTCTGTGTAAAAGCCCCTGTGTGTGTAAAAGCTTGCTTTGTGTAAATGCTTTTGTGTGTAAAAGCTTCTTTGTGTGAAGGCTTCTCTGTGTAAAAGCTTCTGTGTGCAAACGCGTCTGTGTGTAAAAAGCCCTCTGTGTAAAGACTTCTTTGTGTAACACCTTCTGTGCGTAAAGGCTCCTAGACGTTTGTGTGCAAAAGCTCCTTAGAGTAAAGACTTCTCTGTGTAAAACCTTCTGTGTGTAAAAAGCTCCTTTCTGTAAGGACTTCTCTGTGTAAAAGCCCCTGTGTGTGTAAAAGCTTGCTGTGTGTAAATGCTTTTGTGTGTAAAAGCTCCTTTGTGTGAAGGCTTCTCTGTGTAAAAGCTTCTGTGTGCAAACGCGTCTGTGTGTAAAAAGCCCTCTGTGTAAAGACTTCTTTGTGTAACACCTTCTGTGCGTAAAGGCTGCTAGACGTTTGTGTGCAAAAGCTCCTTAGAGTAAAGACTTCTCTGTGTAAAACCTTCTGTATGTAAAAAGCTCCTTTGTGTAAAGACTTCTCTGTGTAAAAGCCCCTGTATGCGCAAAAGCTTCTGTGCGACTCCTCCATCCAGCTTTCTTTCGGGTCACACTGTCGTCCAGTTTCAATCTGCAACATTGTTTCTTGTGGAAGATGCAAAGAACAGGTGAAAGCATCGCAGGTTAAAAAATTGAACATAAACAGCGCACAAAGTGCTGCAATTTACAGCATTTTGCGCTCTCAGATGGCAAGAACCCGCGTAAATACCACAGTTTTAGTCCCCGAAAGTGGCTAAAACACTGTTATTTACAATGTTTCGTTCACGTCACGATCTGCGATTTTTTGAAAAACGCGTAAATACCAGCGTTTTTTGCGTTCAGCAACGCAAAAAATCGGTTCAAAAATGGAAGAAAATGCTGTAATTTACAGGGGTTTGGCGCCGCCACGGGCAAAAAACTGCGTAAATACCAGCGTTTCGGCGTCCAAAAGTGGCCAAAACACCGCTATTTACAGTGTTTCGTGCCTTCCACGTTTTCTTGAAATTGCAAAAACCATGTAAATACCAGCAGTTTTTGCGATCAACACGCCAAAAATGCTGTAATTTACAGTGTTTTTTGCTTGGCTTTCAAAAACACTGGTATTTGCGGTGTTTTGTGCATCTTGGGTCCAAAAAGTATTGGTATTTACAGCATTTTCTGCGTTTTTGCATGGCTCCCGCAAAAGACGTTAA